ATTTATCTGCAGCAGTCACGTCACTACTCATCTTTCTTCATGTGACACGGTCTATGACCAAGCTGCAATTCTACCTCGTTGCTTCGAAAATAACTTCTGTCTGGCGCCCTTTGATTGATTATCCCGTGTACATTCTCTTCCATCCATCATCACTAGCGATACACGGTTGATTAATCTCATTGTGGAATGCCTCATTCTACTTTTACCTTGAGGAATTGAACTGGTTACGACTTATGGACGGCATTTGGTGGTTGTCTCTCTCGATGAGACTGTGGATATCCATCCCTTCAATGAGACGAGTTTTGAAAATCCATACAAAAAAAAAGGAAGAAGAAGAAAGGAAGGGACGAGAAAAAGGCTTTTGTATCGGTGCTGCTCACATCATGTACTTCTTCTCATCATGTATTCTTTGGCGACGGGCGTTGACGTGGAGTCGGATTCTGATGTCATGCGTTTTCTCTCTGAGATTACTGCATAGTTTGCTTTATGTTGCTCACCACTTGCCCTTGAAGGCACGAAGGCATGAGGATATTATTTTTTTTATCACTACTACTTCGGGTGACGGGTTTGAAACTTGGTGAAAAAGGGTTGATTAGGAGTTTGAATCGATGATTCGAAAAAAAGAAAATCGAATCACGTTGTGACTTGTCATGTATCATTAGAACTGGGAGCTCGCATTTGATGTCTTGTTTTCTGTACGCACTGGAAACACAGTGCCTTTTTTTATTGATTGACATGTATTTGTATTTGTTTTTTTTTTCGAGCGAGCGAGCAACGAAAGCCAGCGAGCATTGATTGATTGTGGCATTGACTGAGCATTGAGCATTGAGCATTTGAATATTGTGAACATTGTGAGCAGCACCATTATTGTTATTTATTATTTGGGATTGAATCAAAAACGAAAACAGAAACAAAAAAAAAAGACGCCAGGCTGCATCTGCAATCCGAAACAAAAAAGCGATGCAAGCAGGCGGGTTTACAGTTTCAATCAACGACTCTTGTTCTTCTTCTCTTTCCTCAGTATTGTTCGTAGTTAGTTTGTAGTCCGTAATAATAATTTCTAATAATGTAGAGAGTATGGACAGTACAGTAGGATAGCTAGGGTACTTTGCAATTTATGATAATATATCATCGCGACAGCGAGAGACTTCCTGTTTCGCAGCCTTTATTTTTCTTTTTTGTTATATACCATAAATAAATAAATAAAGTTAGATATCTCGATGGAAACGGTAACGAGAATCTTTTTGGAAAAAAAAACATTTTTTACTATGGGTATCCCATTTTGTATCGCCCTTCCTTCTACTTATTTTCGCTTTTCGCACGAATACAGAATCTCGAATACTGAATAGATAATGGGGACAGAGTCTGGAGCTATATATGAGTGAAAGAAAAAAAAAAACTGTGAGTAAATTATGTATTCTTGTGGATGGATGGACGGATGGATGGATAGACGGCGGAGATGTTTATTTTCTTTCTTTCTTTCTTCCTTCTTTCAGAGTTCGTCTCATCTACAAGATAAAAAAAAAACAGACAGCGAAACACCGATTCAAACGTAGACTAAGTGGCATTAACAACAAATGTACGGAGTAGCTAGAATCGATGACTTTTTCTTTCTTTCCTTCCTTCTTTCCTTCTTTTTTTGGGAAGAGAGGGAGGATATCATGCCGCGTTATACATGGTACAGTAACAGTAATAGTAACAGGCAAGAGCAAAGACAAGCAAGAAAGAAAGAAGACAACGTTGAGGTGGATGATTGGACGTTTATTACTATACCCAGCAGAGGAGGTTAGGTTAGGAAGAATGAAGATAAACTTAGAGGAACTTCTTTGGCATGTTCGCACGACGACGCTTGTAGGCGACGTACAGTCCGGCCAACGCGAGCTGGAAGGAGATGATGAGGAAGATGAAGAGGCCCATGCGTGGAGAGGCGGCGTGGATCACTGGCGGAGAAAAGTCATGTCAGAAAGGAGCCATGGAAGAGAGAGAGAGAGAAAAAAAAAAACAGGAGAGAAATCTCCTTGTGTCGTTTAAGACGGGGGGAGGGAGATTGCACTTACTATTGAAGATGGATGACTGTAGGCCTTCAGTAAGACTCAGGTGAGACGTTTCGATAGCCTTGTGAAGCTGGGCGAATTGATTCCGGTAGTCTTTGCTTGCGACATCGCGTTGCAGGGCCTGTATGGCTTGTTCGATCCTTTGAAGACGAGAGTCGATAGCGGACAGTTGATCCCTTGTTGAAGCGGTGCGTTGAAGAAGCTCCTGGTGGCGGCTGTCGCTATTGCGAGCCAAAGCAGCGAGATCCTTGTAGACGTTTTGCGTCGCATGGTTAAGGAGCTGGAGGCGGTTGTGGAGGTCAGCGAACTGCTGCTCCGAAGTCGTGTAGTACGAAGCGGGACGATCCTCTGCAGCTCCGTAATCGCTGGATCGCGCATTAATTGGCTGCTGGTTGGTTTGTTGCTGTTGCTGTTGCTGCTGCTGCTGCTGATGCGCGGGAAGGCTACGGTCTGACCTCAGCGCAAACCTGAATATCTCAAATGAGTCTGGAGTGTCTGGAGTAGCTGCGGATATGCCAAAAGTATATCCGGTCGGCAAAACAACCTTGCAAACGTTAGACATTCTTTGAAACAACGTTCATGACGCCTATTGCCTACCTTGTTAGTCTGGAAGCACGTTTTGCCGTCTACGTTGACCTCGAAATTCGAGCTTGTTTGTTTGATCAGGATACGAGATGGGCGACCCAAATTGCGATACGGGTACTCGCAATGTCCAAATGCCAGGCTGTCGACGTTGGCATGGCTCTTGTAATCCGTCATTCCGTCGTTCAAGAACCCGCGAATGGTTCCACCCTGGACGACAGTTAGATTAAATCAGTAGAGAGCCAGACGCTATGAATGCTACGCACTCGTCCTCCATGCGAGTCGACGGTAAGGGCAAACCCATCGAATCTTCCAACTGTGTAGATGCTTGAGGCCCCGACGCTGGCCTGGCCATCTTTCACATACCACAACTGCAAATTACCACCGCCCCTTTCCGGGCCGCTGGCTCTGAATTGGAACTCTGCTGTCCATTCAGGCACAGAAACACTATATAGGTGTTAAGAAAACGTAAAGAAAAAGCATAAGTAAGTGGCAAAAACTTACGCATTCTCTGCCCACACGGAGCCTCTTGTGTTTCCAGGGTACGGAGGTGTCAGAATCAGCCTGTCCGATAGCTGGGCCCAATGTTAGCAACAATACAGAGATCTCCGGCAGACAGACCACTTACAATTTGAGGAGTGTGACCTTCGCCTGTGATCCGCCAGCCAGGGATACTATCGGGATTGGGTGATAACCTAGAACAACCGGTCAACTTGGAGAGATTCGATCAGTAAGGGATGAGGTCGAATTTACCTCCTGTCATATCCAAAGCTGGAACTCTCAATGATTGACTGCGCATTTGCCGCAGCTATGCAGAAAGCAAGCGAAACTAACAACTTCATCTTGTAGGATCAAGTGTTGGGGAAGATAGAAACTCCCCAGCAAGCTCTGTACAGTCTCCACACAAGCTACTTGCCGGAAAAAGGTGACACGGTAAACAGGGGTGGATGGAAGGAAAAACGCGAAGCTCTAAAGACAATTTGCACAGAGCTATCCAAAAGCAAGACTGTTAGAATTCAAAGTCCTTGTCGTGGTATCAATTGAGACACAATCTGTTGACCCCCCACTGCTAGGGGTCTCTAGCTTTCTGTTTCGAAATGGCGGAGACAAAACGAGTGGCGATCCAGCCAACTACGACAGCAATCACGCAAAAACGGACCTCCCGGGCAATGGCTACAGCAGATGGAGAGACATCAACGCTGTGCTGGATCTTCAAATCGGACAGAGCAACAAACAGTAAGGCGGACTGCGACGTCCGACATGTCCATCGACGCGCCTGTAGAGCTCCGCCAGCCAATTAATGTTCTTGACAGCATGGCCTCTCTCCGCGGGCTGAAACCCGTCACGTGAGAGGGCATCCGCGCGTCGCCAATAATAATCGCGGGATTTCGGAGGTCTGGACTTTGAAGCTTTCGCCGACAAGCGGGCGACGTCGTCTCCATCGCGTTCCTCGACGCCTCTCCTTGTGCTTGATCTCTGTCTGCGCCATGCAATTCTCTACCAATGGCTGAGTTCTATCCGTCATTGGCGCAGTGCGCCCTCGTGGCAGCAGCCTTCAAGGTGCTGCTCTTCCCCGCATAGTATGTATATGCGATTTCCCGGTTTGCTTCCAGAAATCATCCTGCAGGTTCCCATGCTGATCTATGCTTGTCGCGAATAGCAAATCGACGGATTTCGAGGTACACCGGAATTGGCTTGCCATTACCCATTCGCTCCCTGTCAAGGAATGGTACTATGAGGTATGACCGGATATCTCGTAGCCTCCACAGACTATCCAGGCTGAAGGTGTGAAAATAAGAGGACGTCAGAATGGACTCTGGACTATCCACCATTCTTCGCTGCTTTCGAATGGCTCCTTTCCCAGCTGGCATATTATGCAGACCCCGCTATGCTGGTTGTCAAGAACCTCAACTACGACTCGTGGCAGACAGTCTATTTCCAACGGGCAACGGTCATCCTTACTGAGTTGGTCTTGGCTTTTGCATTGAGCCGGTACGCGAGGCTTACTCTTTTTTTGTGAAATAAGCAGGACTAATGTGGGCGATATCATAGGTACGTTAAGTCTGTACCTTCTGCTAACAAGCATCTCGCACACATTGCCAGCCTCTCTATCCTGCTGTCTCCTGGCCTGCTTATCATCGACCATATCCATTTCCAATACAATGGCTTTCTATTTGGAATACTGGTATTGTCGATTGTATGGGCGCGCAAACAATCCACCCTCCTTTACAGTGGCATTACCTTCGCTGTCCTATTGTGCCTGAAGCATATCTATCTATACCTCTCTCTCGCGTATTTCGTTTACCTGCTGCGGGCATATTGTTTAGACCCCAAGTCTGTTTTCCGGCCCAGGATCTGGAATACCATAAAGCTCGGGGTCGGAGTGCTCAGCGTCTTTGGCCTGGCGTTTGGCCCCTTCGCCTATTGGAATCAGCTGCTTCAGCTGAAAGAGAGGCTTTTCCCTTTCTCTCGGGGTCTATGTCACGCTTACTGGGCACCAAATGTCTGGGCCATGTACGCGTTTACGGATCGGGTGCTGATTCCACGTATGTCTTTTCTGACCACCGTCTCGTCATTGGCGCTGCTAACATTTCTGTTCTTTTTCTTAGTTGCACCCCGTCTTGGTCTCCCGGTGGACCAAGAGGCTCTGAGCAGTGTCACTCGGGGTCTTGTGGGAGATACTTCTTTTGCTGTGCTCCCGCAGATCAGTAAGGAGCAGACATTTGCGTTGACTTTCTTCTTCCAACTGGTGAGCGGGCTTTCCCCCCTCTTCAGCTAAAACACGGTTGGTGACTAACAGGCTTTAGTTTCCTCTGATAAAGCTGTGGTTCCGACCAGACTGGGATACGTTTGTGGGAGCGGTGACACTGTGTGGATATGCGTCGTTCCTCTTCGGCTGGCACGTTCACGAGAAGGCGGTTCTGCTGATCATCATCCCATTCAGTCTGATTGCGCTGAAGGATCGACGGTATTTTAGCGCCTTCCGACCCCTGGCGGTCGCGGGCCATGTCTCGCTTTTCCCGTTGCTCTTCACAGCCCCCGAATTTCCCATCAAGACGGTATATACCATCTTCTGGCTGATCCTGTTCCTGTTTGCCTTTGACCGAGTGGCACCCGTGCCTGAAAGGCCGCGGGTATTCCTGCTGGACCGATTTTCGTTGCTGTATATCACGATTAGCATTCCGCTGATCCTGTACTGCTCCCTGGTCCACCAGCTCATCTTTGGCTTGAATCGCTACGAGTTTGTGCCGCTCATGTTCACGAGCAGCTACTCGGCCCTGGGGGTAGTGGGGAGCTGGCTTGGATTTATGGTGGTATACTTTACTGCTTAGATTAAAATTCCTTATTAAGAAGTAATATTTACTATGACTAATCATTCGCCTTTTGTTCTTGGTCAATGACTGTGTGCATTCGCAATTTGGTAATCGGTACGTCAGTATTCCTTTTGCTGTTTGCGCAGTTTGCATTCAAAACAGAAAAAAAGCAATTACTCTATTTTCACGTGTCGTGCGTGTGGCGCGTGCAGACCCGCACCGCAAAAGCTGTCCACCAATCCCTGCAGGGCCTGGGCACGGCTTTCTCTCGGGCTTCCTAGTCCCAAAAGGGCTTAGACGGGTGGACGGGGACCCGACGGCGTGTGGCTCCCAGCACAAGAAATCGAACCACATCTGATGCCTGCTTAGCTTAGCTGGCATACATAGTCTTGTTATTAAGTATTATCAGTGGCGCCTTGCCCTAACGCCCAGTTTCAGCCTGTGTTTGGCATCGTCTGGCATCTGTGTCTTTTTACCCCTTTCATTGGCTCTATTCTAGTAACAGCATTGTGGACAGTTTAAAAATAGACCCTGTGATGTCATCGAGCAGATGATCTCCGTTGAGTATGGATTTCTTGTTCGCAGAGGACGGAATAGAGGAATTGAGTACGTATGGAGTGGAATCAAATCACAAGACATGGGAGAAGACGATATATCATGAGGACAGCTGATAACTCTCGCATATTCTTTATATGCTCACTTGCTAGCATTTTACTTCGTATGTTCGCCAGTTATGGATACAAAGATACCGGAGTATATTTCCATGCCTGCTGTTGATGTTGGGATTTAGTTATAGATAAACCTAGTCTATCATCGCCTACGATAAAGAAATAGTTCTAAAAAATTGATGCTTAATGCTCAATGAATTTTTTATTTGGGTTGTCTACGAGTAGTAGATATACTGCACGCTATGAACTGCCGTCATCAGGCTCCTTCACGATGCAGCTTGAAAATAACAACGCCAGTGCCTGTTGGAAAGAAAGATATATTTTGGCAGCTTTGACGTTCGAAATTTTCATCACTGAACAGCACAGACAAAAAAAAATGTTACGTGGCTATAGAATGCAGCAGACACAAACCTCAGTTGAGACGGAGGATAGTTAAATGCGTGGATTCAAGCAGTGTCCCTGGCCATAGCAGAACATGCGAGATTGGCAAAGAAATGGCATAGCAGTCAGATTCTGAAAATATGTCCAAGAGCATTTAGTGCCATTTTTGGAGTCAGGAGGTGTATAGCATGCCGTATGGAATCTGGGCGCCACAGCCCTAGAAACCCTATCGAAATCTACGCACGAACACCATCGACAGCATTTAGAGCGATATATCTAGTGGAAAGGTAGTAATGCAACCGTGTCGATGAAGATGCAGGTGAACAGGTTACATCTCTGCCTCCTCCGAAGGCGACTATTTGCCATTCTGTCTGGTTGATGACGTCGAGAACCCTGAGAGGCCAATCCGGGACGAAATCCAGCAGATACGGCAACGACTTGTCAGAAATAATTGCATTCGGAGAGAGGCATGCGCCTACACGTCTTCAGCCATGATGTGGTACCGTCTAGACGATCTCATTGCCGCGTGCGAGGGAAGGGCCCATCCCGTCGTGATCGTTGCCGCACCAGGGCTGTCGACCCTGATCCAGGTGCTCTCCCTTCTCGCAGCGTGCAACCTCCACAAAATCGTCTGCAGGCGCCATAAATGCTCTCAGAAAAAAGGGCAGGCTCTGAGGAGCCGAACGAGTGCAAGAACGCCTGGGTCAGGGTGGCTGGGCGGGCAGCAGGCTGGGGCAGACGGACGGGGGGGGGGGTCAAGGGCGGGCATGGAGGGGGTCCGACGCAGCAGAAGGCCCATCCTGTCTTGGGGCGCGGACCGTACTGTCTGTCCCTGGCTGGCCCGGCGCGTTGCCCGCACCGCCAGCGACTCTCTTCTTCTCCTCGTCTGGCCCAATGAGCGCGTCGCCTGCACCGGGGGCCCGTACCTCCTCGGCCTCCACCGATCCTCTCGGCGAGGTCGAAGCCGCCGCCGCTTCTTCTCCTCCTCCTCCTCTTCGCCTCGACTTCTGCCTCTTCCTCCTCTCTCTCCCCCATCCTGCTCCCTCTGTCCCCCTTCTCTCCGCCATCCTGCCACCACCACACGCGTCTCTGAAGTCTGGCCACCCCGCCCGCTTCTGGTCAGCGATATAGTCCGTTCACGACGCGACATATATTATATTAGCACCACGCCCTCCGCTCTTGCTCGTCACGGCTGCTTTTTTTGCTTTCGGAGAGGCTGAGTATATCACGACGCGTCCTACATGTAAGCACTCTCCTGCTCTTACGATCCCCGCTTCCCCCGGGCTTTCTTGCCCGTATGCTCCCACTTCCCCGAATCCCTGGTTTCCCGGAGCTGTCGCGCTCTCCTTTGCTGCCTCCCGCTCTCCCGGTCGATCCACGCACGTGCAGGCAGATCTGGGCCGCTCCGTTCGCGTCCACTAACTGCGACTTTCGAGTTCTTCCCTGTCTTTTCCGCGTCTTATATTACAACTCCGGTCTTGATCCTTATCTAACTCAATGATTCCCGCAGATTTATATAGTTTGCGCACGCGCCTCCCGCGGTCTATGGTGGACGGACGCGGGGCTTCCACTGGCTGAGGATCATGGTATGCAGATACGACAGACCCTGGTGATTCCGGGAGATCATGCGGATGCTTGGAAACAATGGGCAGAGAGTAACGTTGTCGAACAGGTGCTATTCAAGCGGAAGCCCGTCCAGTTCCTCCCGCGGCCCACCATTGAAGATGACAGCTCCGAGGCATGTACCAATTCTCTCTTCAACCTTTTCTCTGTGATTAGGAATTCTGGCTCATGGTCAATCGTCTCCAGGTGTGGGTCATCCCCGAGACCAATGAGGTTTTCACAAGCTACGAGTCGTACCTCCAACGCATGGATTTCTACAAACAACGCCGGTTTATCTGCGAGATTACAGGCCACTCGGGTCTAACGTTCTTTGAGGCATTACAGAGTGAAGTATGTCACGTGTCATGCTTTCCAGTCTTTCGTGGCATATGTTAATACGATCTCATTAGATGGAGGAGTCTCGTGAACTCAACAACGCGTTTCCGGACGCTCTCAAGGAGCCTATTCTGCGAAGGGTCCAATTTTCAACCGTCTCGAGAATCGACCATCTGGGTAAGCTCCATGTGGACTTGGTCCTTCTTGCTGCCTCGATGACTGACACATGGTGCAGTGGATGAAGTGTACGAAGTGAGTAGATGCGGGTCCTGATGAACAGGCTGTCCCGACTCTTTTTTTTTTCTGACCGCTCGCAGGATTTCAAACAAGACTTCTATCCCGGTGAACATGTAGTTATCCTGCTCGAAAACAACCAGCGCCTACATGGGATAATCCGGGACAAGGCCAATTTCCCTCGACAGTACTATCCGGATGGCGCAGTCAAATCAGAGGCATATGCCCGATACCTGGTGAAAATTCTGGATCGCACCAACGAGGAGGCGTTGCTCGACCAGGATCACATCACGCGCGATCGGAAGACTTTCTCGAAGCAGATGCTGCGTGCCTTCATCAAGAATACGGTCACTCGGGAATCGTGGAGCGGCGCTCCATGGCTGGTGAAGCCCACCATCGCGGAAGAATACAAGATCGATACGGAAGTTCCAAAGCATTTGCAGTACGGAGCCCGGGTTGCAGAGAAGAAGGCCATGAAGAAAGCGGATCAGCAGGGTCACTTCGGCTTCTTTTCATCGCAGCGGTTGCTGGAGCTCAAGCCGGCAGCCGGAAAAGGGCAGAAGTCCAAACCGACACCGCAAGAGCTTGCCAGGAGCAAGGAAGAGCAGTTTCTTGAGTATCAGCGTTCTTTGAACGGAAACCCATCATTCGTCGTCCAGAAACCCTCTGGCGGACCTGTCCGTCCCGCCAAGGACCCTGAAGCCGACAAGAAGCCGCTGGCCGTTCCCACGGTCGTCATCAAGGCCGAGCCCCCCAAACCCCCGCCACCTCCCCCGATCAAGTACCCAATTGAAGATTTAGACATCACTTGGGAGCCGAATCGAAAGCCTCGACCGCCACTCAAATTTGATCTGGATGACCCATCAAGCTTCGCTAATGACGAGGAGATGTTACAAGGTGATATCAAACCCGAATCGGTGAGCCTATTCCTGGAGACCTGGAACACACTCAATGTGTACTGCGAGGTATTCCAGCTGGACTCGTTTACCTTCGATGATTTTGTGCAAGCCATGCGGTTCTCCTCCAGCGAGGTCGATTGTGAGTTATTTGTCGAAATCCACTGTGCGGTCCTCAAGAAGCTGGTCAATGCGGAGAATGACGACGACGGGGCGATCCAGGTATCGCTCCCGGACCTTCCGCAGGAGTCGGATGAGTCAGGCTCAGAGGGAGAAGAGGAGGAGGAGGAGGAGGAGGAAGAAGAAGAGCCCACTCCGGAACCGGAGCCAGTCGTCACCAGGATGACCACCCGGAGTAGTTTGGCTAAAGCCGAGGCTGCCAACTTGAAAGCTCAACAAGGACGGCGCAGCCGTTCGGGCACAGCCGAAGTCAAGGTGCACCGGGCTGCGGAAATGTTTGGGGATTATGGCTGGATTGATCGCCTGCGAAAGAGAGATTTCCGCAACGGTGGGTGGGAGTTGATCATGGTCGGCCTGCTACATCAACTGTCTGCTCGTCCACGGATGGAGAAGGTCTGCGAGGAGATCTTGAAGCATCTGGCTCCTCTGGATAAAGAACCCACACAGGAAACTGCGCGCTCGCAGTACGCAACTCTCGACATCAACCTCCGGATTCAGGCCCTCCAGATTATATGTATGCTCAGTCTGGAGACTAAGGCCATCAAGAACTATCTGGAGGAGTGCAGCAATCAGATGACGGAGTTCCGCAAAGAAAAGATTGAATATCAGCGGGCGCGTAAGGCAGCGTAAGTTCGATCATTTCGAGTTCTTCATTTGCATGGATTTTCTTTGCTCACTTGTTTTGATTTTATCTAGGCTTGAGGAATTACGGAAGCTCCAAGTCGAGAAAAAGGCCCTCCAACCTGAGCCAGAGAAATCGCCATCACCGCCGCCAAATACTGAGCCTCCTGCCGATTCCAAGACGGCAGACGGGGATGGCGAGACGCCAGCTGTGGACGATGAATCTGAGCAGGTCATGGATACCGAAGATGAGGAACCTCGCGGGCCTTCGCTCCGTGGTGGATTGGACCGGGTTCTCGAACGGAAACGCCGACAAGAGGAAGAGCGGGAGCGTAAGGAACAGTTGGCGAAGCAACCCAAAGGCTCCAAACAGTACCAACGGGTACTGAAAAAGATCGAAGAGCAGGAGGCGAAGATCGCCTCTTTGGAAGAGGAGATTGCGGTTCTCGATAACGATCTCAGGGAGGCGGACTGTCCGCGGACGAGATGTCTGGGGAAGGATCGTTTCTGCAACCGGTATTGGTGGTTCGAACGGAATGCCATGCCGTATGAGGGTCTGCCCAACAGTTCGACAGCGGCTGCGAAATATGCCAACGGTCGACTGTGGGTGCAAGGCCCGGATGACATGGAGCGCGAGGGCTTTATTGACCTGCCCGAGGACGAAAAGAAGCAATACGCGAAGCGCCATCAGATCACTCCCTCGGAGCGCAAGAAGAAGGAGGAAGGGTCGACAAGCCTTCCGGATGCGCGCCACTGGGGCTACTACGATGATCCAGAATCGCTGGACGAGCTCATCAACTGGCTCGATACGCGCGGCGTCCGGGAGCTCAAGTTACGCAAGGAACTTCAGCTGCAACGAGACATCATCGCCAAATACATGAACAACCGCAAGGAATACCTCGCCAAGACTGCTGAACGCGCCGAGTCGGAGGAGGCTCCCACAAAACGGGTGTCAACACGAACCAAGACCTATGTGGATGACCGTAAACACCGATGTCTGCGGTGGAGGAATACGACAGCGCTGTCCGAAAATGGCCACCTTCACGTGGATCCTTCGCGGCCGACGAAGCGGGCAAAGAGGGTCACCGACGAACCGAAGGAAATCAAGGCGACAAACAAACAGGGGAAACCACTGACAAGACAAGGCACGCGATACAATTTCTAACTGCCACCGCTCCCGCTGTGCTGATTGTCAGTCCCTTCCTCTTGACCTATTCGAATTCCGTCGCTCGATGCACGCCCCTCTGTTTCGATGTTCTGTCAACGTGCATGAGCTATGAGACCCATGAGCCTTTTCTTTTTTTCTGGATTGTTTTTCTTTCCCTTCCAAAAGTTCATATTCTTGCAAGGGCAGTATATGCATAGAGTACGGTGGCTAAAAAACGTGTAGCATGCTTGGGCCAGCTGGACGGTGTTTGGGGTTGCAACCTTGGGTCTACATGGATGGCATTGTTTTTGTCTAGGATAAAATATCTCCTCTGTGGTGGTGTTTCAGGCTTGCGGGCATTTTGATATTTTGGCGAGATGGCAAGGCCACGATGGCGGCGTGCTTGATGCGGTCTCTGTTCGAGCCCCCCCCCCTTTATTTATTTAAATTTAATTTTGTTAGATCTCATCTAGCTGATAGATATCCTCCACTTTGTCGTCTGCTGCGTTGGTAGCTAGTTATGGAGGAAAATGATATACTTGAATAGAATACTCTTCACGCTGGGCTAATAGACTGCCGTGATTTAATATTAACGTTGCAGCGATGATTGCTTAGACCATAAGTCGGTACAGCGGATGATGTAACAGACCTGTTACGTACTGATACAAGAGGCGAATTTGGGCGGTGGCGGGGAGTATCGAGCTGTATCGGCACCGTTTCGGGCGGGTAAGGATTCTCCAGTCACGGGATCGGTTATCGCCGCTGCTTTCCGACCCCAGAAAACATCCAAGCAACCTCGAGGAACCCACCTCTGACTCCATGGAAAGCTCTCTCCCTGCTTCCCTAGTCTTATTGCGTTACCCAGGCTATTTTTGTCGCTCACTAACACCGCCTTCGCTTTTCCTGATAATCTCCTTCCCACCTCTGGGTTGACAGTTTGCCCTGCATCGCCCCGATGGCCGCGGATGCACGATAGCCGAGTCCGATTCCGAGAACGGTTCGATCCCATCACCATACCGCCACCAGCCAGTACTCTGTCAGCGAGAAAACCCGACAATAATAATAATCATACTGGGAAAACACATTTCCCCCACGGATGACCCATACTCGTCCAGATCATGTGCACGCTGCTCCATCAGCCATTATTATTAACTATCCCCGCATTGTTCAGTTCGAATCGAGTCCTGTCGGACGACCATCGGCAGAGGGATCGTCTCCGCAGTCGGATAGCGTAATGGAGGACGCCAAACGGACAGCGCTACCGTCCACGACGTCGACCCGGTCGGCGGTCGATATTACGAGCCCAGAGAAAGCCCCGCGGTCAGAACAGGATGGATCGCGGGCACCAGTGCACAAGGCCCTCGGCGGAGACATCAAACCGAGAGACAAGCGGAGCGCAGACTATGTCATACGGAGTGGATTGGCGGGGGGTATTGCGGGGTGTGCGGTGAGTTGTGTTTCAACTTGTATGCTGGCTTGAGCGAGAGTTCTGACAGGTTCCCTTCAGGCAAAAACAGTCGTAGCCCCGTTGGACCGCGTCAAGATCCTCTTTCAAGCGTCGAACCCGGAGTTTGCCAAGTATTCCGGAAGCTGGTCTGGGCTGGTCTGGGCGATACGAGATATCAAACGTTTCGAGGGTGTTCGGGGCTTGTTCAAAGGCCATTCAGCCACCTTGCTCCGGATCTTCCCTTACGCCGCGATCAAATTTCTGGCGTACGAGCAGATCAGGGCAGTCGTCATTCCCTCACGGGACAAGGAGACGCCGTTTCGTCGTCTCATTTCGGGAAGTCTGGCGGGTGTTACGTCGGTTTTTTTCACATATCCTCTCGAGGTGATCCGGGTCCGGTTGGCCTTTGAGACGAAACATAACACCCGCTCGTCGTTCACCACCATCTGCCGCCAGATCTACCATGAACAGGCGTCATCAAGACCAGTCGCGGCAAATTCAGCGGCGACACCGACAACGGGCACCCCATCTGCGGCCATGGCGACCGCCCAAACGGTGTCGTCTTCTATCAATGCCGTTACTCCTCGATCTGGCCTCGTTAACTTTTACCGCGGTTTCGCGGCGACGGTGGTCGGCTATGATTCCATATGCGGGAATGTCATTCTTGACCCATGACACCATTGGGGACCTGCTTCGTCTACCGAGTCTCGCTCCTTACACGACTATTCCCAATTCCGAGAGCCCCAGACAGAAGCGGGGCGGCAAAGCTCGTGCTCAACTGACGGCGTCCGCCGAACTGTTCTCCGGCGCTCTGGCCGGTCTGATCTCCCAGACATCGGCATACCCACTGGAGGTGATCCGGCGTCGCATGCAGGTCGGTGGCGCAGTGGGCGACGGCCATCGACTCAACATGGCCGAAACGGCGCGCAAGATCTGGCTAGAGAAAGGCTTCCGTGGGTTCTGGGTCGGGTTGACTATCGGGTACATGAAGGTCGTACCGATGGCTGCGACCAGCTTTTATGTGTATGAGCGGATGAAGTGGTGGTTAGGAATATGACGGTCGTCCTTAAGATCTTGAGAAGTAACACCCATGCTCCGACCTCTAACCCTGTATTTCGACCGCCCGTCTCGTCCGTCTCACTCGTCTCGTGTCGATCGATGACGCCGCGAATCCTCTTCCACTTCCTTGCTCTGCATCACACCTCACGACCTGGCGTCGACCCGCATAACGACTTCTCCCATCTTCCTTCTTCCGTCATCCTTCCTTCTTTCTTCCTTGCTTTCTTTTCCTTCCTCATCCTAAACGATTCATCATTCCTCAACGGACGGACGGACGGACAGCCGATCGGTCGGTCGGTCGGTCGGTTGGTCAGATTCTTCTATTCCAGAGATACATGCATGGGTGTTGTCGTGTCGTGTCGTGTCGTGTCATCATTCCATCTTCCTCCGCGTTGCGTTGCATTGGGAGGATTCTTGGTCCTTGGACTATCCATTTTTCCCTCTTCATGTTTTCACTTTCTACCTGCATCCTCCTCCTCCTCATTATTATCCTCATCCTGCATTAGAAAAGAAGACAGATCAGGTCAGATCAGGTCAGATTAGGTCTATAAAATTCCTTCCGGAAATACGCCATGTCATATGATCCTGACTTGTCCACCAGGGAGGGGGTATTTTTTTATTTGTTTTTGTGGTAAATAGGCAAGTCAAAATTCGTCATCTTGATTAAGGTGGCCTCAGGTTCTCTTTTCTTTTTATCCTTTCCCTTTTCCTTTCCCTTTTCACTTTTTTTGGACCTTTTTTTTGTTTGAAAAATTACTGTAACACCTACAATACAACCTACAGTGATACCCCCATGGATTGATTGGATGGATGCGAGTTTGATGGATGGATGGATGGATATCCCGTTTGGACTCACTCGTTTGTTTACTCGCTCGTTTGCTCGCTCGCCCGCTCAATCAATCGTTCAATCGATCGATCGTTCGTTCGTTCGTTCGAGAGAGAGAGTATGTGAAATACATAAATAGGGTGAGTGAAGTGAGTGAAGTGAGTGAGTAAGAGGAACGGAGAGAGAGAGAGAGAGAGAGAGAGAGGAGGATTTTTTTACCCCCCTTGTGTATCACCACCTAGGAACATACCATACGCAGTACAGTCTTAGAAGAGAAGAGAAGAGAAGAAAAGAAAAGGGGCATGTCTGTATGTACATAAATACTGAATAAATATGCATGCATATATAGAGGGAGTGTATTGGATGTGTGAACATTATTGTCATTATTATTTTATTATTATCATTATTATTATTAGCTCGTTATATCGTTTCCTCGTATCATCATCGTCGTCGTCGATTACCGGGTATTAAGATCCATCTGGATGAGATAGACAGATAGGTAACTTGCTATGTCATCACCTAGCATCGTCTTCGCGCTGCTTCAGATCCATAACCAAAGCCATGACCCTTTTAAAACTCCCCCGGAGGACGTCCCCGTCATCGTCGACGTAGAAATCGAACCGCAAGGGATCAAAGTCGATAGGTCCGTACCGGAGGTCCTCGTCGTCTCCCGTGCGGACCAGCTGCACGTCGTGCTCCTGCCAATCGGGTCGGTCCATGACGACGAGCAGGGCTCGAAACAGCGGATGCAGTCGATAGCGCGCGTGTCGGGCTGGATCGGCCTCTGGGGCTGCGACGTCCTGCGCATCCAGCACCGTCTGCCGGGCCCGGATCTGGGCGCAGATGCGGCGATGTGTCTCCAGGATCTCGGCGATGCCTCGCGGGCTGTCGGGCGCCTGGCAGGCCAGGAACTTGCAGGGAAACTCGCCCAGGGCGGCGGCGTCCGGGCGCGCATCCCAGTCGATCCTCTCGCAGAGATGCTCAAACATAGCGAGCAGGTCCCGCTGCGTGAGCGGCGAGCCTGGTCCCAGCGGTGCCGTGATGTACGTGGCGCATCCTTTCCAGCAGAAGTCGTACATGGTATCGAGCGGCAGTCTCGTGTGCCCGGTGGTCGCGGTGACCACGTAGGGCGACACATGCAAGGTGCGCTGATAGTCCAGCTGGCGCATCAGGAGCAGGCGCCTTTCAGATGTTGGAAGCATGTGCAAAGCAACTAGGTTGGGAAACTATCAACAGCAACGAGAAGGACTGAAGATGGAGGGGTTGAGAGAGGTTGAGTGAGAGAGGTCCATCTGGGTCTTGCCTATTATTTTTTTGCCTGTCGGGAAAAGGGCAGGAAATAAATGGACTCCATCGACTGCGGCAGACAAATCAATTTGTCTCGTCTTGCTGTGTGTCGAGGGGGGTGTGTGAAAATGTATGTATGAAGTGTGTGATGTGCGCGTTGCGTTGGTTTCTCCCGAGGGACTGGACCAGGAATCCTGCGAACAAAGTCTAGACGATCCAACGGCCACTGAGAGAGGGCACAGGATGGTATTGTCGGTAGCACAGGCAGAAAAACTGCAACGCCTGCAGGCTGGAGGGACATCATGATCGGAGTCGGAGTCGGTCACAAGGAGGGTTTTCTAGGGAAAAATACAGATGCGGTTGGAGAACAGCCTCTCTGCGTGCTGCCAGTGATAGACAAACATCGTTAGAGGCAGACAGAGAAGGAAGCGGCGATTTTCCCTCGGAGATCATCACTGCAGTCAGTCAGTCAGTCAGTCGGTTAGTGGGACCTGCCAGTAAGAGACCTGTCAAAGTCGTTAGTTGGTTGATTAATATTTTTTTTCCACCATTGGTGTGCAGCGGCACGACCGTTCGGCCCCGATTTTCCTGCCTCGCATAAATGATACACGTAAGACTGATGGACATGCAGATGCAGAGGCAAGATGCGAGCTGGGCGACACTTGCACATCGGATCGACCGCTCATTGGCATTTGCGCCCCTTGTCTGTTTGCCGCGACCCAACACAGGCGGCTGACGGCCATAGGTCGTCGGGAAAATCCTCCCTGCATTACTACATTCCCTACTGAGATAGGAAGGACGATAGTGGGGGAGGCTGCAAGCCATCGTTAGATGCTTGCTGGTGAGACGTTGGCGCAGTCTGTGGATTGATCAACCTCATGGACAGATATTACCTAACTAGGTAGTCAACTTCACATACCTAACCTACCTAGTGACAGTTACATTCTTGTTTGTCAAGGTTCCTGCCCCTCCGAACCGTCGTATCTGGCGCAATAAAGGCTGGGGGCTACCGCCCAGACCAACGGGCTGGTTTGAAGATGATTATGACAACACTGAAGTGTCTCACTGGGATCTTTGATCTCGATTTGATTGCTTTCTCTTGTTTGACTCCTTTTTCGGATATTTGCATTGTGGTTGCTAATTGTCACCGGTACAACTCTCTCCTGCAAACAACCACATCGTGAGGCCAGAGGAGAAGAATCGTCAAGGATTTTTTTCGGGTTCACATGTTGCTGAATATCGACAAACGAACGTTGACAGGCAATGTTTTTTTTTTGTATGGTGCAGTGTAAAGAGACGAAGCATGAGGGCGCCGATAGTACTTGATATGACGCGAGTACCTCCTGCACGGCTGAACATCCTCAACCTATTGAATCGACAATGCGTGCTTTCAATTATCAGAGAACCGACAGCGTTATTTCTTCGAGAAGCAGACAAGCACAAAGCATCAGTGAGCCATGGTCAATGAATAAGGAGCGACGATGAGCGCTTTGAGCGTCAGAGGACATCAGATTGGGGAACTAAAGAGGAAGGACCGTTCAGCAGAGCTACCTCCAGGTGTGTGTGCCCCTTCCGTAGCCTTCTATATCCTCTACTTGTTAGCACAACGTATTTGGATCAATTGAGTTTATTTTCTCCTTAGATTTCGTATAAATTAATATCTTATTTTTTTCTTTTTCCTTTCATATCTAACAAGATTAGGGATCTGCGCCTGCTACTTTAGGTAGCTGGTGTGACTCACGTGATCACAGATCTTCCACTGCGAGCCGGCGACCTGATTGGCTGATCCACCGACTTTCCCATCCCGATCGATAAGGACGCACGGACCACGTGATAGTTTTGATGGCAGCTGTTTTCTGCAAGAAAGGCCTGTTTCTGGACATAAAGTCTGGAAGCCATACTCCCACACCGACCATTGACAACCATGGCCACACGGAAAAGGAACGAATATCTTGACCTCGAGTCAAGCGACGGCGAAGAAAGCGATCGGGGCTACGACTCCGAGGCTGCAGAGGAGTCCAAGGGCCGGGCAGCCAAGCGGCGAAAGGTGCAAGCTGTCGACGACGGCGACGTCGACGTCACAGATAGTGAAAATGGGGACGACCGGGACGATACTGGCGACAAGTTCGATGGGAAATCGGATCAGGAAGAGGAGAAAGCCCGTCGACTAGAGAATGGCGATCACCGTTCCTCCGACTCAGAGCAACAATCCCCACAGCACACCTCGGAATCCAAATCGAAGGAAAAACCCATCAAACCGCTAGACAAAAAGAAGCTGGAGAAGACGAAGGAGAAGAAGAATAAGACGGGCGTCATTTACCTCTCGTCGCTTCCGCCATATCTCAAGCCGTCGGCTCTCAAGAAGATGCTGGAGCAGCGGGGGTTCGGCCCCATCAACCGCGTCTTCCTCACGCCGGCGGTGCCATCGACCAGTGGCAGCAAGCGCAGCAATCGGCGGAAGATGTACACGGATGGCTGGGTCGAGTTTGAGTCGAAGAAGACGGCCAAGATCTGCGCGGAGACGCTGAACGCGAACATCGTCGGCGGGCGCAAGGGCGGTTGGTACCACGACGACGTCTGGAACATGAAATACCTGAAGGGGTTCAAGTGGGACGATCTGATGGAGCAGATGCAGCGCGAGCGCTCGGAGCGGGAAGCCCGGCGGCGGATCGAGGATGCGCGTGCGCGCAAGGAGGACAAGGTCTTCCTGGCCGGTGTGGAGAAGGGCAAGGTGGTCGAGGGCATCCGGAAGAAGCGCCAGGAGAAGAAGGCGAAATCGGGTGACTCTGGCGCGGAGGACGACATGTCTGACCTGCAAATTCGGCGGGTGTTCAAGCAGAATGAAGTGCGGACCAAGGGCGACAAAGACCCCGACGCTCTTGGAGACGATGCCAAGAGAGTGCTGGGGAAGATCTTTTGACGATGTCTTTTTTTATTTTCTGTTTTACTCGATTGTTATAGATACCATGTACATGCAATTCAGCATATTAGAAACCCAGTATATTCCAGGGAATCAGTCAAAACTTTCCTAAAATCACATCTATATACTTTTCAAATCCAATACCCTGCCAAACACAAGTCATGGAATCATTATGAAAACGCCGTTGCCCATCGAGTTTTGAGACATGCAAATACTCTTCATATCAGTTAGGAACGAAATCAGTCGTCCACATTCAATTCATCAAAGTCCTCCAGCAATTCGTCCATGCTGATCTTGGGCACATCTTCATCCTCGCTCTCGCTATCTTCATCCATTTTATCTTCAGCGGCGCCTGCATCGGCCCCTTCAATCTCCATCTTGTCCGTCTGGCCGCGGCTGCGATTGTTGTTCTTCGCCTTGTACAGCGCCAATGTGCTGCGGAGTTCCTGATCCTCTTCGATATCGCGCAGGAACATTTCGAAATCAGCCTCCAGGCGTTCCTGATCCTGTCGCCGACTGGGCTCCTCTTCTTCCCGGGCCATCCGCTTGAGCTTCCAGTTCCGCTTGGGCTTCTTCTTACGGGGATAGTGTTTCCGGACGAGTATGACGTCTGGAATCGTGGACCCATACTGACTGCTCTGCTCAATCGCCTCAAAGTTAGGATCGTTAAAGTTGGCACCGGACAGATGATAGCCCAACGCGGAATCTCCGACACGGAGCACACCGCCGAGATGTGTCCGGCAAAAGTAGGTCGTATCGTTCACGCCCATGTCAGATGCACGTGCCACAGTCGCCTCGGCCAGGTGGAACCGGCCATTCGACTCTCCAACAGGCTCAATGTCCATGACGATGAACTCTACCAGCTCCTGCACGTCCGCCAGGTTTTTGAACGGCGATCTCCAGTACACGGGAGTAGATACCTCGGCCGTCTGAAGGGTGTTGGGATCGAGTAGGTTGACTGAAGTGCCGACACGGTAACAAAGCGTCAAAGGAGAAATGTTTCCCAGCGACCGGGCCAATTTCAGCGGAAGCGCCACGAGATCATCTTTGCAGATAGGAATCAATTCAACAGAGAAAGTAGTCTTGTAGGATTTCGTCGAAGTGTGGACGTCCATGGAAATGAGCTCCTGCGATTTCTTGACCTTCACAGGAGCGACGGAAGAGAGAAACTCGACCATCTTCTCCGCATGGTTCCTCTCCGCAAAGAAGAAGTCCAGTCCGTCCTTTGTTTCTTTGATGTTGATCGTGTCCTTGTGTGCGTGGTGCTTGAGGATGAGCTGTTCGAGGTAAAGGAAGGTTCGTTTGTGCGGGACCTTTTGCCGCACCTGCACCGCTGCCCGCCAAGTGTTGTGGGTGTAAGATTTGGCACAGTCTGGACATTGCTGAGTTGCTACCACATATTCCACCTCAAAAGTCTGCTGCAGGATTGTCCCCTGGAAAACTTCCTGTTGGACGGTGATTTTGACCTTAATCCGCCTCGAATGCGGTTCGGTCCAGATAAAATTGGCATCGACGATACGAACCCTCGACAATCCTCGGAGCTTCTTCAGACAAATTGCAAGCAGCTCCCGTGACTCCGGGGCTGCGCTGACCCAGGTGCTTGGTGGTTGTAACCACCGTTCGCAATCTTTGCATGTGTGCAGGACGGCCTCCCTCTGGATTCCCTCGGAAATATCGACTGTCAGCTTCACGCAGTCAGTGCATAGCGCACCGGCCGCAGTCGTTCCATCGATGGGGGCACCGCAATTATAGCAGAGAATTCTGAGATCTAATCAGCGGGGCTTTTCCTTTTTTTTTAATACTCCACATCAACTTACGTCGCTTCTGGTTGTTGGGCTTGGAGGCCCGAGATAGGAACCGGAGCATCCAGATCCATCGACATTGCTACGATGATCCACTGGATGCAGGGCAAAAAGCAGCAAACTGGGTGTGTAGAGAGAGTCGGAGGCTCTTGCAAATCATTGACTTCAGCCCCGCCGTCACTTTTTTTGTGGTTTGATAAGAAGTGTTTGTTTGGTTTGCAACCGGCTTAGTCAGGAAGCACGTGTTTGCACTGTTTGTTTGTTGCAGAATCTCTCCAGACCAAAAAAATCGGCCAGCAGCGTCAGGATCTATTGTCCATCGTTGCTGGCATTCCCGTCAATCATGATGAACAGTGCTCTGGTTAGGGGCGCTAGATGCTATGTCTGCCGCTATAACATCCTTCAGTCGTTTGTCGCTATCTCGGGCATTTCAATTTCTCAGCCGGTCGGTCATGTTCGTTCGGCCGGGAAACTCTCCTTCAGGAGCTTGTCCACTGTATCCTATCTGAGGTCCCAGAACTCCGGTCTTCTCACGCAGGATGCTGGTGCGGATGAGATCGGAGAAAGGAAAGAAGAGCACAATCCGTCGGCAGCGTCGCAACCGGTGCCCTGGTATCTGCAGGTGGAATCGCAGACTCCCAGCCCTCAACCTCTGTCGCAGCGGCAGCAGATCCCAGATCTGCCAGAAAATCCACCGACGATCCTCGAAGATTTACTCAAACATCTCCACGTGGAAATTGGCCTGGATGATATGACCCTTCTGGACCTGCGGGGGCGAGACCCTCCGCCTGCTCTCGGGGGCAATGTCATCATGATCATCGGAACTGCTCGCAGCTTAAAGCACCTGAACGTCTCTGCGGATCGCTTTTGTCGTTGGCTCAGGTCGACTTACAAGCTGCGTCCGTACGCGGATGGGCTGCTAGGAAGGAATGAACTAAAGATCAAGCTTCGACGGAAAGCCCGTCGGGCTCGGCTCGCAAGCAACACCGGAGCGGCTTTGGAATCTGATGACGATGGCATCACAACGGGCTGGATCTGTGTGAATGTTGGTATCGTCGATGATAAGAAGGAGAAGCGCAGGGAAGAAGCATTTGAGGGATTCGGCAAAATTGCCGGGGGGACGAGGATTGTCGTGCAGATGTTCACCGAAGAAAAGAGGGCAGAAGTTAATCTCGAGCAACTCTGGGGAGAACCACCCAAACCAGAAATTCAAGAGGAGACTCCGACAATTGAAAATACAGCAGCTGAGCATCTGGGAGAGGTTCGTGATTCTCCCGACCCGATCAGGCACCTGTCTTCTGACCGAGGTTTTGGACATCTTTTCAGGCCACCAGCGAGCATCGCCCTGAATCAGCAGAGAGGATTCGCTACTAGTTGTTCTTTACGAGCTAATCGGAACGACTCCGCGGATACAATACCGTCGACTGCTAACGGCGTTCGTATACAAGGACATTCTCGAGTGGATTTTTCTTCCATATTCTACCCTCTTTCAAGATTGCCACCGGAGAAAGTCAAAGCGGAGCTTGGAAATGGTCCAGATGATCGTGATTCAACCTTTTTCTTGCAGTTGCTCTATAGCAAGGTTTCAAATGCGCATCCTGCCGAGATATCTGAGGCGCGGCTGAAACTCTTATGCGTGGGCACGTCAGTTCAGCACCCGCTCTACACAAAAGAGCTTCTCTGGGAGGCTTTTGAGGAGCATACTTGCAGTGGCTATCCTCTGACTGATGAGCTGGCTTTTGAGGTTGTGTCTGCGTTGTTGACACCGAGGTCTGTGGACACTCCTGAAGGCACGCGTACAGTTTTTCTACCAGACCCTGACAGAGAACTTGCCTTGCGTGTCCTGGATTTCTTGTCTCTACGAGGCACAGACGTCCTGAATATGAATGTGTTCAACAAGTTGTACAAAGCGGCGAGCTCCACAAATGCCCCGTCAACGGACAAGATGGAAAATGGTCCTGAACAGGCAGAAGGCGGAAACTCGGACGTTTCCAGGATAGCGAGGGTGATGGCAGCATTGGAGCTGCCTTTTGATCCCGAGGAGGTGCATGTCCATATGGAGATGCGGTTCAAGAACAAAGACTTTGAGGGATTCTGGAGGCTGTGGAATTCCTTTCCCTTCTACGAAGTACCCCGGAGACGCAGGGACTATGAGCTCCTCTTCCGGTTGCATGCTGAGCTTGGAGACCCGGCACGCGCCCGGGATTGTGTCTCAACATGGGGGTACATGATGGAGCGGGAAGAACCGCCGGTTGAGTTGCAGGGCGAAGTTGTACAGCACCTTATGTCGTGTATTCGTCTGTCGGATCCCTCTATTGAAGGGAGGAAGGAGCCCAACTCAGATTCCTACATTTCGAAGCTCTGGAACCGGTGTATGATTGCGCTGGAAAAGGACAAGTAGTGGCTCAAGTCCACTTGGATCCATGCTATATACATAATGCGTTCCTCCTGGCGAGGTTCCGTTATACAAAGGTTTCTTTGTACTGTACAATAGTTTATTTCTCCTTTCAATCAAGAAGTGACTTATTTCAGAATTCATTTCATAATTTAAACCAGAGGATTGTGTCGTAGTCTCCTCCGTAAATGCTCCGCGGCAGATGATATCGGGCGGATCGCCCTCCGGTTGGACCTCGGCTCCGCAGCTGATCGGACCCGCCGATAAGTTAATAAGTTGCCCTCAACATGACGCACCGCTGCATGCGCATCCCAGCACGTCCATCACCCACCTGGCTGATCCGCATCCTCAGCGGTCTCTGAGGATGTCCGGCTCCATTCTCCTGGCCCAGAATGGAGTACATGTCCAGCCTGCAGAATGAATTCGACGAGCTGAAGCCGTCTCTTTTCGGTGAGTGAGCATCTTGAATCAGCGAAGACAGACGAACAGCTAGCTAATCATTCCATTCCTCTCCCAGAGCTCCTCGCTGAGCAGCAGCTTTCTGCTCTCCTTCCGCCTTCAATCCGCTACCTGCTTGCCGTTGCCACGCACCGGCACCCGCGGTACCTGCTCCGCGTGCTGAACTCCTTCGATGAGCTGTACGCGCTGCTGTCGCTCATCGTCGAACGATACTACCTGCGCACGTTCGGCGGCTCCTTTACGGAGAACTTCTACTCGCTCAAGCGAGAACGCGTGCTGCTGACCAAAAATGGCGAGGTGCCCCGGGCGCAGATGGGCGCGCCTGGCCCCGTCCGGGAAACTCTGAAGCTGCGGACGGTCGACGTGTGGAAGAACCTCGCCGTCATGGTCGGGCTGCCCTATCTGAAGCGCAAACTCGACGAGGGCTACGAGATCCATGCTGTGCCGCAGGCCTCGTTGCTTACGAGTGGTGGCAGCGGTGGACCGCGATACAATCCCAGCGACGACCTTCCTCCGAATCCCTCGTTCCGGCAGCGATTGCTGTACTACTACAAATGGTTCCTCCGGAACGTGTACCCGTCCGTGAACGCGGCGTACTACTTTTCGATCCTGGCGTTCAATCTGGCTTATCTGTTCGACAATACCAAGTATTCGTCTCCGTTCTTGTGGCTCATCGGCACGCGGATCCGGCGGCTGGGACCTGCTGACCACCGCGCGATTGCGATGGCTACGCAGCCGAAACCAAGCAGCAGCGTCGCACGCTCGCGGCCGGGATCGGGCCTCCTGGGTCTGTTGAGCCCGCAGAATCTCTACCCACAGCTCCTCTCGTCGCTGCGGTTCCTGCTCCCGGCGTCGATCTTCGCACTCAAGTTCCTCGAATGGTGGCACGCGAGCGATTTCTCGCGGCAACTCGCTCGCAAAGCCACCGAGGCGCTCGATCTCCCGGCACCAGTAGTCTCCGGCATGACCGATCCGTCCAACAAGAAGAAATCGCAGCCGTCTCCTCCGTCGTCGTCGTCGACGACGGCAAACCTAAAACCAATCATGAAATCGTCCGCTCGTCGCCGCCAACCGCCCATCTCGTCGACCTCTCTGCTTCCCATCTTCACTGTGCCTTTACCCCAGGCGGACTCGGGCAATGAGAACGCATGCCCGATCTGCCTCAATCCGCTCGTCAACCCAACAGCGTGCCAGACGGGCTACGTGTTTTGCTACAGCTGCATCTTCCGGTGGTTAAACGGGGAGCACGAGCGACAGATCGATTTCATGAACGGCGAAGGCGGCGGCGCAGCCTGGGAGGACGAGTACGGAGATGACGACAATAATGATAATGATGATGGCGACGCCAGACGTGCCAAAACCGCAGACAGCGAAAAGCAGACAGCTTCTGCTGCTGTCGCTGGTAACGGGAAGAGCAAGAGCAGAGAAGGGAAATGGGAGAGCGGCAAGGGGAGATGCCCGATAACCGGACGGAGAGTGCTAGGAGGAACGGAGGGTCTTCGAAGAGTACTAGTGTAGCACGTTGCCTGCTGAGTATACATCCTAAGATGTAACAAGGTTTTGAAAATTGAAAATGGCGGCATAGATGATCTCTTATACGTTGTAATATGTACAGCAGTATACATGACATGACATGATTATTACATCGACTGTTGGTCTCCCTCTCTTTTTTTTATCGTGCAATCTCTTTTTTGTCATTCATTCGTTCATTCATTCAATTCATTCATTCATTCATACATAATCCAGTTCAGTCCAAAGTAATTACTTCATGCCGCTTTTTCTCACTCTCTCCCCCTCAGCACAGCAGCAGCAGCAGTAATTTACATAAAAAAGCTACTTACTACTATGCATGCATGCATCTATTGGTATTACCAACATACCTGTAAATAAGAATACCAACTACCAACCAGTACCAACAAAAAAAAGGTCACAATCACCCAACCCTATACCCACCCGCACCCTTCCCAAAAACCAAATGCGGCCTCGTCTCCGCCAGCTTCAGGATGGTCTGCGCGAACAGCGAGTTGGCCCACGCGAACCACGAGCGCGTGTAGTCGGTGATGTTGTTCACGTCGATCGACTCGTGCACGAGGCCCAGACGGCTCGAGTTGCGGACTAGCTCGATGCAGTGCGCGATCTCGGCGTCGGAGTCTGAGGTCAGTGCCTGCACGAGGAGGGACATTGGCCAGGCGTTTTTGAGGCCGACTAGAAAAAAGAAAAGAACACGTTAGCATGTAGGTAATTTAGGTGATTGTTTTGAGGGGAAAACTTACTGTGCGGCCCGCCGATTCCTTGGAATGCAGACCCAGTCAGATAGTAAGGATTGCCGGCTTGCTCCAGGATCATCTTCCGCGTGTTCTGGTAGACGACGTCGTTCTGGTCCACGAAGCCCAGCAGCGGGAGGGACAGCAGTGAAGGGATGTTGGCGTCATCCATCAACAGCCTGGACCCGTACCCGTCCACCTCGAACGCGTAGACGTCACCGTATTTCTTGTGGTTCGTCACGCCGTGTTCCAGCACCGCGTTGCGGAGGTTGCGGGCTCGCTGGCGCAGATCGCTCACCAGGCGCTTGTCGCCGCCCGCGGCCGCGATCACATCGGCTGTCTTCCCGAGCTGCACGGACATCATGGCGTTCGGGGGGATGAAGAAGCCGAATATCGTGGCATCGTCGCTCGGCCGGAAGGCACTGCGGATGAGCCCCGTGCCGGAATTCAAGGGATTGCCCACTCCGCCCAGGCTCAGCGTCTCTGTCCCCGCAGAAGTAACGCGCTGGAACGTGTAGGTATTGGTCACAAACTGCCCTTTGTCGTTGAAGGTGGGCTGCGACTCGGCATCCAGCACGTCCAGCAGCGTCTTCAGCGCCTTGTACCACCGGCTCGTCAGGAACTCGGTCGACCCGGTGGCTTCGTAGAACTGGTTGCCCAGAGCCAGGAAATGGGCCAGCGAGTCGAGCTCGTACTTGCACTCGAAGACGACGGAGGGGTCGTACGCAGGATGGACCGTGTCCTGCTGTCCGTTCGAAGACGGACGGAGCCCGCTGGGAGGCGGCGGCTGGAAGGCATTGCAGTACGGCGACTGGATGACGAATTCGGCCTGGGTGTTGATGGCGCCCAGTATGAGCGTGTACAGGGCCGCATCCTTTTTCGCCAGCGCCTGGTACGGCGCCAACTGGTTGGTCGAATCACGCAGCCACTCGGCCATGATGTCCCCTGTCACGATGAACGTCTGTGGCCCCTGCCATTGAGAGCTGTCTCGCTGGCTCTTCGCTTTCGCGGACGTGGTGGTGTCAGTCGACGACCCGTTGGTGTGCCAGGCGATGGTCGTGTCCAGCGTGTTCGGAAACGCATTGCGAAAGAGCTGAGCCAGATCCTTGTCCACCATGCGCGAAGTGATGTCGTCGATCACCCGCTCGACCAGCGGGGACGCAAAGGTCCTGCATTCTACCGCAGGGCGCTGGAAGGGGAGGTTGAGCGGACCGCCGCTGTACGGAGGACTATATCACCGACGTGTCAGCGTAAGAAACGCTCTGGTAGCAGGCGAAAAATCACACTCACTGTGGAATCTCCGCATAGGTCGTGAAGTCGGGACACGCGCGACGCAGAAGCGCTGGGTCATCCTTAGGCGCAGCACTGGGCGCCTTCGCAGCGCCCTTCGCAGGGAGTAACGACAGCGCGACCACGAGGGCCGAGGGGAGGATCATGGTTCAGACGATAGGAATCTCCTCACTCGGCTCAAGACATGCGCGCCTGAGGGGGGCAGAGAACAGCAGGAACCATGAGGGAGCTGCGGCTCTGCGGCCGATAGACCGTGTTATGCGTATGGCATCCCTGCCGTGCTTGCGGCATGCCAATAAATAATTAATCTCCGCGCGAAAGCTGGGGAAGTTTAGTAGATAAGCTGCTCCCGCCCCGCCACCCCCAGAGAGTTCGTCGATCTGCCACAGCAATTCTCGATTCGAACTCGACAGAGGCAGCTGTAGTTATTCAGATTCTTATTCAGATTACTTCCTAGTCTTGTATATGATATTTTATATTTCACTGCATTACTTAGCTACTGTTATTCTTACTGTCCTTGTTACTAGATCCCCTGCCCAGCCATGCTTTCGCCAGTACTCCGTAGAGCTTGCAAGCATCATGACTTCGCGTTCAGCTATTGGTGTCGCTCTCCTCGAGGATACTCATCCTCATCACAAGGACAAATAGCTGGCCATCGTGGACGACAGACCAGTCATCGACGGTCATGCCCCGGCACGAACGATATGCGTTGTAAGCTTAGTACTGTACAAACATACACTTTCCCGAGCATATGGCTCTCGTCCTCACTTCTTGGAAAAGAACGACATGATACTTCCCTGTCCAGTCTTTTTGCCCTTCGACGTTCCTGAAGCACTGACGGCTGGCTTCTTTTTCGGGGGCGGCGCGGGTTCATCTTCAGAGAACGACTCCCACACGGGCTCCTCAATCGTGACTAACAGGAGAGGCGCGATCAGAATACAGTCTTCTTCCAGGACGACAGACGGAATACTTACCCAGGTAGCCTTCCTCGTCTTTGATTGTCTTTTTCTTCATGACTTGCCGCCTGCCTCTGCGACGACCGCCCTGAACAGTGATTTCCTCCTTTGGTTCGGGCTTCGTTTCAGGCTCTGCCGGTTTCGATTCCTCCGGAGCAGGTGCGTCTGCAGGAGTGGGTGCATCAGGCATGTCTTCATCTGCATTCGCTTGTTAATAGAGAACCTGAATGTAGCCTCAGTGAGGATTTCCCACCGTCGTCTTCCATCATCTTCCTCAGCTTCTCTTCCCGTTCTTTCCGGGATTCGCGGCTGTTATTGATCTTCCGCTCTCCTGTATCCAGGAAGAGATCCTCGCGTTCTTCCTCAGACGCATCATCATCATCGTCGAAAACAACTGCGATCTAGTTAGTTGCCATGGCGAAGTAGAAGCGCAGCAGCAAACCCACCATCTTCAGGAGCACTCGGCTCCGCCTGGATGACAAGAGTCAGCACTGATCTACAGAGTCACAATCTTGTCGAGGCACATACAGATTCCGCTCCAGAAGCTGCGGAGACGGTCGAATCTTCGGTCTTCTGCTTCTGTTTAGCTTTTGCAAAAGACGTAAATAAGTCGGACTTTTGTCGCTGCGCAGGCGCGGAGCTTTTTGTCGATTTTATTTGGTCCCGAGGCTGAGCCTTTTGTGATGCCGGCTTTGATGTCGTCACTTCAGGTTCGCTCTCATTCTTTGGCTGTGGCGATTCCTCCTTTTTCGGAACCGGCTTCGTGACAGCTGCTGCTGGTTTCGAGGGTGCGGTCGTGGCTGGAGCAGCAGGCGGGGGTGGCATTGTACCCTTCCTCCGCTAAAGCACGCTATATCAGCTGTGACCCTCCAGGTCGCGGTAGGAAGGATTTACCTTGACGTGGGGATTCTGTATCATGCCCCATTGCTTGCCGAACTCCAATGGATCTTCATGACCGTAGGTGGTGACGATTTCACGCCCGACGTCTATCAGAACGTTCAAGTCCTGTAATGTGTTTGGCTGTAGACTATAGATGTGGATTGACGAAATAGATTCAAAAGTGGCCTTGGCATCTGCCAGATCTTCTTCTCTGGCCAGCACAAAGGACGTTGTCCGGATGGGCTTCTCAATATCCTCGGGCTGGGGCATCGTGCTCATAAATGGGCTGCTTTGCATGACCTCGTCATCATCATCCTTTTTCACGCCGTTCGCCGTCGACTTTTCCGGTGGTCGCCGGACCCCGGTGATGAGGTACGTTGCATTCACGCTCTGCGGTTTCTTCGCATTCTCGGTGCGATGAAAGTCGTACAGCATCCTAACTTGCATTCAGCATGCTGTCGAAGACGGTATCTTCAAGGTCTACTGTCTGTCTAGAAGATAGATAGGACTCACTGCTTAGCTAGATGGCTGTGAACCTTCAGCGTTCGACTGAGCAGCCGATAAGTGACCTGATAAGAAAGACATGTGAGCGCGAATTGGAGCAAATTGCTTCTTATTCCGAAACTTACGGTGCGACGTTCGCTGAGGACATTCTCAGCAAGATACCTCTTGTAATCTACCGCCATTCTGAGGTCGAGCGGTTTCCTTGGATGCTGTGCCGATGTACTCCGTAGAAGGGATGCTTGCTTGCATCCATCTACCGAAGAAGGTAGAATGGAGACGCGTGCTGAACCACTTAACGCGTCAGGACGCCTCCCGGTCTTGGCACCGCCGAACAATTGCTTCCCGCTGCGACGGGATTAATACAGTCTACACTTAAGCCTATCTCTACGCTCCACGACGGAAGCTCGATTGCTTCCCCGCTCGACGCCCAATTCACGCATTTTCTGCCCGCCTCCAGCTGTCGCCCATGTTCTCCTTGTCTTCCACCTCCTCCTGAGCCAAAACAAATGGACAGCTCCTTCGACATCCCAGACTCGACAGACTGGTTGAACACGCCGCTTTCGCTCGTCGCGCCGCTGGAGTCGGCGCTGCGATGTCAAGTCTGCAAGGACTTCTTCGACAACCCGGTCATCACGTCTTGTTGCCACACGTTCTGCTCGCTCTGCATTCGGCGGTGCCTGAGCACGGAGGGGAAATGCCCGGCGTGCAGGAGTCCGGACCAGGAATTGAAGCTGCGCCGCAACTGGGCCGTGCAGGAGATTGTGGATTCGTTCAAGAATGCGCGGCCAAGTGTGTTATCGCTCGCGAGAGAGAAGGCCAGTAGTGCCGCGCAGGAGGGGCGAGAGGAAGATGATGATGACTTGGAGCAACCTGCGGCGAAAAAGCGGCGACTGGATCGACCTGATGAGCCCAATGGAATACAGTCAGAGCGGAGGAGGACAAGATCACAGAGACAAAGGTCCACGGAGAATCAAGTCCCGGCCGCCGAGTACGAGGTTATTGAAGACAGCGCAGATGAAGACTATGTGCCGGGTGAGCTTCCCTGTCTGACCCGCTGGTTTTGGTTCTTTAAAGGATTTGCGCTAATTGACTATGTAGACGATGGACTAGTCGCTTGCCCAATATGCAACAGAAGAATGAAGAACGAAGCCGTTTTCAGCCACCTAGACGTGTGCAAAGGGCCCCAAGAGCCATCGAAGACATCCAAGGCTACAGGGTGAGACTTGGCAAATCGCCTCAAGAAGATGCATGCACAGTGATTGACGCTGACTCCACATAGGTCTTTCCCAATAGGGTCCCAAGCGTCACGAAATACAGCCAAACCCCCAGAGAGACTGCCAGCCATCAACTATTCCATCCTCAAGGAAGGCGAACTTCGCAAGAAGCTCAGGAATCTAGGAATACCCGATTGGGGCCCGAGACCTCTTCTGCAGAGACGACATACGGAATGGATGAACCTCTGGAATGCGAACTGCGACGCAAAGGTTCCCAAGTCCAAGAAGGAGTTGCTACGGGAGCTCGACATTTGGGAACGGACGCAGGGCGGTCTGGCGTCGACGTCACAGAGCGGCTCCAATGCGGTCATGCGCAAAGACTTCGATACAGCAGCATGGTCGGCCAGTCATGATGATGACTTTAAAAAATTGATTGAAAGTGCGAGGAAGAGAAGTAATGCAATAGGAGGTCGACCTGCCAATCCCCAACCGCCAGCCGGTCAACAGGGAGGAGAAGAAAGCAGTCTGAACGCGTCCAGCGAAGTGAGCGCCGCGGAAGCTCCCTCCAGTGAGCACAAAGACGAGGTCACCGCAACGGAACAATCAATACCCCTTCCTGGCGAGAAATTAAGCCAGGAGGCCGGTCCCAATGACCAGGAGAGCGGCCAGAATCAGATCCTGGATGCGCCGGTAGCATAGTCATTGATATATGCTATTAAAGCTGTATACATAAGACATATCTTTGTAAAATAAAAAAAAGGACATATGGCAAACTTCCTAAAAAGTTCCAATTAAAAAAAAGAAATTCACTCTGCCTGCAAAAGTTGTTCTTTGTCTTTTCGACTCGAGGCCTCAGCGGTGTCTTCCAAAGACATATTAGAGAGCTTTCCAATGCTCTCTGCCAACAACGCCGATTCTTCAGCCTCTGGCGGGTTCATATTATTAGTCTCAGGAGGTAATCTGCGAGCAGCTGCTTCTTTGGCGGCTTGTTCCACACTGTCGAGCTCCGCCAACTTCTTCCGCGTTGCTTCCGCCTCCTTCACTTCCTTCTCCCGACGCTGCTGGTTCTCCAGCGCCTCGAGTTCGTCGTCGATTTCCGTCTCGTCGATGACGGGGCCGGCCTCGTTGAGGATGTTGCCCATCTCGTCGACCTTGGACATCTCCTCGCGCAGCTCCTCGACGACGTCCTCCACTTTCTCGATCCCGCCGACTTGAGCGTGGAGACCTCGGAGGACGCCTGTGCTGGCTTCCATGACGCGGACGATCTCTACCTGGTCTGCGGCCTGCTCGATTTTGGAGTATACTTCCTCGAGCTGGGCGAGTGTGTCCAATCTATGCTTCAAGTTCTTCTCGGCGAGTTTCTTCGACCGCAGCGCGGAAAGGGCTGAGACCTTGTTCTTGTTGTTGAGGGCGGCAATGGCAGCAGCATTCAATTCGCTGATTTTCCGTTCCAGATTGGCAACTTGCTTGGACAAGTTGGCTATTAATGTCTTCATGGATGCGATCGTGGTATCTTGTTGTGTGATAGGTGAGGTATCATCCGCAGACCGGAATTTGATCGTCTGAAATAGCGTCAGCGAACCTTCTCTGCGGGCCTGATTCATGGGTGACAACAACCTTCCCATCGTAAGCAATGGCATTGATGTCCCTGGATAGATACAACAGCAAAACGTCGAAGTCTGCGTCTGAGAGCTCAGTCTCCGCATCTAGCACGGTGCCAAAATCATTAAAGAACTTTTCCTTCGAGTAAATAAGGTCCAAACGCGACGAGGTGCCGCTCAAGGCTTGCTTCACAATTCGATTTGCTGCTTCCTGTCTTGACCGTCAGCCGTAACACACGTAGAGAGCCCCAAAATGTTAGGGAGTACAAACCTTGAGATTATCCACCAAAACCAACTTCTGAACCTGAAACTTTGGCGACGTAGCCGCATTATCAGGTCCAACCAGGAGCCCTTTCAGCTGCCTGAGACCCCAGTTCATCATATTCCACGGATTCAGAGCCCCAGGGTCAATCACCCTCCAACGACTGCTGTTCAGACTGTACGAGCTGCTTTTGTACAGCTGAACTGGAACCATGCTGCGTTTCTGGATAGCTTCGTCCTGCAAGCAAAGCAAGCATCGCGTTAGCCCAATAGTCCAATAGTCCATATATCGGGACGTTTTCTTGACCGCTCAACAACGTACAAAAACACTACCAAGTGCCACAGGCTTCCCCCATTCTGGAATCTTAAGATCTCGCAAAAGATTGTCATCCGCGCTCAGCACAAGATGGTCCCGTTTCTTGCGTCCGCCTGTCGACCCTCGGCCAAAACCAGTGGAGCTGGCTATCCGTCCGTTTCGCGCGGCGTCTACAAGCGCCTTCTCCCAGGCAGCAACATTGACGGCATAGCCGTCCGGGTTCGTATTCTTCTGGATGGCAAAGTCGGAATATAGGGATGGGAGACGGTTTCTGCATTGGTTTCGTTCGGACTGGTTAGCTTTTCCTACGGCTGGAATGCAAGAATGCAAGAAAGAAAGAAAGAAAGAAAGAAAGAAGGGTATCAACGCAATTACTTTCTGAAAGCATCTTCATGTGATAGTATATACTCCAGAAGCTCACTCATTTTCAAGGAACTGTATGCTATGCCAGTACTGAGTCGTCTCGAGTTAAATTAACCGGCCGCCAGGTATTCCCGGGTTCGTGTTCTTTGGAGAAAAATGCATAAACATTAGCATGGACAAGGGGCAATAGACACCTGGATCATATCTCCTTGCACGAGTATAGTGTTGAGTCTGACGTTGCTAGACCATGCGGTGTTGAGCTGTCAAGCCAATGCAGCTGTCGCAGCTCTCGACCAGCAACGGCGCTCCGGATTAGACTAGACCACCGCTTATCGATAAGACGCGCTGCAACGCGACCCACGTGACTCCACAGTTGCTCTAAACGACTTTAGGAATTTTGTCTGACAACCTGGAAAGATTACGAGTTTCTGATCTATTTTATAATGAAGAGAAGATTCTTGTTCGAAATCATTCCTGCACCCTGGTACACTCTTTAACTGGTTGAATCGGCTGCGAGAGCTGCCCACCAGAACCTTTCCAAGGTTATAGCCCAGAAGGGGTTCAGTTACGGCAATGGCAATCTACTAGCAGTAGAAAGTAATGATTGTCCTGATGAAACGATTGAAAGAGAAGGCACCAGCAGAAAGTCTGCCGACGGAGATGGTGATGATAAATCCAGCGACAGTGGTTGCCAGTACACAAATGAGAATTAGATCCTCCTTCGCTGGGACTTGTTGCAACCAGACATTGGTGCTTGACAGCCGCAATAATAGCGGGAGTAGAGCTGTTTGAGTCTACTGCCAGCCACTGACAGTGTAGCGCCAGACGGAACAACTACTGTGCCGTTGTTATAGAATCCCTGAAATCTCGACAGTCTCGCTGTTACTGTCTAGCCCAGATCTCTCCGTTCTTATGGAGTAGGAACACTGTCATCATTACTAGTGATGATGTGCGCGGTCGATTCTTTCCCAGTAGATTCCAGTATAGCGCCAGATAGCGTGTCTTTGGTACAGCTGGCCTTTTACCGCAGCGATCTGGGTCGTATCTGTAGTTTTTTCCAGTCGTATTCACTGAGGACGATGAGCATCAATCTGATCAGATCCGATGGATTGAGCTCGGTTGATTGGGTCCACGCAATCGCCATCTGCGATCCAACAATGGTTGCAACGATCTTCAGCACAGTTAGCCACTTGCAATGCCCCTTTGTTTTCATTGAGATTTAGACTAGGCCCGGAAAAGCAGTTAACGTAACCTAGAATGAAGTATCGATGAGGGCGTTGTGTCCCGCTGACAACAGACTGCATAGCTGAGGAGTATATCCCCAATAAAGAAGTATTGTCATCTGACAGCATCTCAGAGTAAACAAAGATGCGACAACGCGATGGGTTAGCAAAATTATTACGAAGTATGCAAATAATTCGAATGCGAGATGAATTGCAAATAGAAAGTCGAATACGAATAAGAAAGTCCTTATTCGTGCCCAGCCCTAGACTAGACGGACTTGATCGAGATGAAGTAGGTATCAGGGAAGAGCAAGTGCAGGGCAAATTAATATCAAGTCGAGTACATCTATTCTCTCTTTCCAGTTAGGGTTAGGGGTTTCACCTAATCCCAAATCTGTTACAGATTGCCAGCACCATGCGCAGTCAACGTCAATCCCGCATCGATCAGCAAGCTCGTCCCGTTGATATAGCTAGCCGACGGACTGCACAAGAACAGAATGTAGTCGACCACCTCCTCCGTGGTCGCGGGTCTTCCCGCGGGCGAGAAGCGCTGGATGATCGGACCTAGCTGGGGCACGCGCTGCAGGCTGGCCTGCAGCATTGGGGTGTCCGTCCAGGACGGGCAGACAGCGTTGACGCGAATCTGGTGCTTGATGTTATCGAGTGCTGGCTTGTTCTTTAGCTCCCTGTGATTCTTTCTGGACAAAATAAACACAACTCACCGGCCGTCTTCGTGATCCCAATTACGGCGTGCTTGGAACTGGTGTACGGCGTCATCCCGGGCGCAGGAACGTGGCCATTGACCGAGGCGAGGGTGACAATAGCACCGCGGCCGAGGCTGCGCGGTGTCGAGGAATGACGCGCACGCCTGCTAACATGCGTGCGCGGTTCCTGGGCGGCCATCGCCTTGGAGACAGCCCTCAGGACCAGCATGGTGCCACGGATGTTGACCGCGACTGCCTGGTCGAAGACGTCGGTCTTGATGTTGTCCACGGTGGCGCCGGAGAGGTTGCCTACCTACGCATTCCGATCTCAGTCAAAAGAAGAAAAAGAGGTGTAGGGAAGGAACTGACTCCAGCGCAATGCACACAGTAATCGATGCGCCCAAACTCCTTGACGGCGACCTCGACCATGTTCTGCACCGCCGCCTCGTCCACAATGTCGACCTCGACCACGACGGCACGAAAATTGGGATTTTGGGCGTACGTCTTGCTCTCCTCGGCCGCCGACTCGGCCTGCGCTTTGTTCAGGTCGGCAAAGATGACACCCTCGACGCCCGCTTCAGCGAAGGCGAAGGCCGTCTCTTTGCCAATTCCCGCAGCAGCCTGTTTAGCGTTAGGCGTGGATTCGATAAGAATAGTAGACACTTACGCCTGTGACAAGGGCAAAACCACCACCAAGCGTGAGTGTCGAGGCCATTGTGATAGATAGGCGAGTGATCAGCGACAGAGAAATTGCTTGAAGTCGCGCTGTGGTCTCGAAAAGGAAAGAGGGAGAAGCTGTCGGCGTCTCTCGACAGTCGCTCCTTCCGTCGAGAGGCCGATGCGACTCTCTGCAAATTGGGAAACAACGAACCGCATGATTCCCCCACCCTGCGGGCGTTTCGGCCCCTCGCCTGGCTGGACAGAGACAAGGCAAGAGTCCGTGGTTGCAACGGCATGCATTAGCTTCATTTCTATCTGGACAGGGGTCCTCAGTCAAAAAATGGTTACACAGCTGATTGCCCCTCACCGCGGGACAGCGCTGACACCCTTGCCATCGACCTGGCCTCGAGCTCATAGTATCCCTGGTGAGGCGGGCGAAATTTCCATCATGGAACTCTCTTGCAATTTCGGTAGATGTACTACGGTACTGATTATCTTATCAAGGCAAGCCCTACAAAACCACAACAAACTACGGACCCAACGGCGATGGATTCCCCGCAGCCTCCGCTTCGCCCATACTGCTCGTCTTTCTGGCCACCTGGGTGAGTGGCAGATCATCCGGATATTTCTCGTAGCCCCGGAACCATGGTCGCGGTTGACTGTGGCTGCCCTGTGAGGAGTGCGAGGACGTCTTCCAGCTGCGCAGCGACAAGCGACCCAGCAGACCCTGCAGCGAGGCGCCCAGACGCGAGGACAGCACACTGGCCTTGAGGCTCCGGAAGAACCGCGGCATCACGGGCATGCATGCAACGACGATGCCTGACGCCAGCTCGGGGATCGTCCATAGGCCCATCAGGAAGAGATAGTGGGAAATGTTGTTGGGGTGTTGAAACAGAAGGATCGCGTAGGCGAGCCGGGTGATGGATGAGACGCAGGCGCTTTTGATCAAACACGGTTAAGCAAAACAGACGACCATGAAGAGGAATGGCAGACTTACAAAATCGCGATCAGGAAGACGGCTGAGACGGCGATCCGACGCTGCACAGCCATGCGCAGCCGCCAGATCATCAGCTGCGGCAGGATGAGTAGAATCAGATCTGAGACGGCGTTGATGGCGCTCGCGGCGACATTGAGGACGAGCGTGTCGATGCAGGACCCCGATGTGATCAGGGGGTTCCACGCTTTTTGGCGGGGCTTGCACGAAAAGATCTCCAGAAACGTACTGATGAGGTAGAAGAGCAAGTTGATCCAGATGAGCGAGTGGCAGGCCCAGTACATTGTGTTTGTCAACCCCGCCGGCGCAAATAACTCGAGAAACTGCAGCAGGATAGAGAGTTTGATAAAGAAGATGATGATCCCGTACATGGTCGCCCCGACGTTGCCGTACTTGATTTTTCTTTCTATCAGCGAAGCTCGGGTCGTCCATGGGAGATTGTCATACCAGGAGCAGGGTCCCGAAGTCTTTCAGGCGTAGATTCCACTGATCCACGCCTGGAGCAATAATGGTGGTCAGCCAACACGGCACAAAGTAACCAGCGAAAACTCCCTGTGAGTCTTTGTTAGAGTGATTCCTCTGAATAATAGCAGAACTGTCCATACCCAAGCAAGGACGATTGAATCTGGTGATGGTCAGCAAGGTTTCGCGTTGATAAGGGCAAAAAAAAAAGGGAACTTTACAGTCAGAAAGCCGAAAACTGCGAACCATCACTGCCTTCGTGTATACGAGCAAGATAACCGCCAACGTGGCAATGACAAAGCAGATCATCAAGGCAGTCCGTGCCGCCGTTCTGTGGTTTGGAGGGTCGTCGAGGTTGACCGAGACACCTGGAGGCGGAGTGGCAGCTGGGCCTTCTAGGAGTGCCTGGATCTCTTCTGGCGACAGAGATGCCATTTTGGCAATTACAAAAGGATTCCAAAAATTGACAACAATTTTGAACAGATCGTGGACTGGGTATGAAGACAAAGAGGCGTAATGCAGACTCGAAAGAAGAGATTGATGGATCTTTGAACAATCTGATGATGATTATGGACCGTCAGATATGGCAGGCAAGTCTGATGAAGAATTGCACAGACGCCTCGAGGACCAAGCTTGGCCCCATCGTCAGAACCATGTCGATCCTACTCCGGAGTATGTCAAGGCTCTTCAGCACCATTTGCTCACCCGACTTTAAGCGAGTCGCCAGGAAGAGCCAGGATCTGGTCCATGCTACATTAGAAGAGCCGGGGTGATAACGGCATAACAGCCACACCATCCAGACTAACCAGGTATGCATGTCTAGTGTCCATGCAGGCCTGTCATATCAGAACGTAGCGCCTAATAAATGCTTATCTGCAGATTGGGGGCCTGAACTTGGAGAAAGGCGCCAATCACTCGGCCGCCAAACCCTCCATCGTTGGTGCACGTCTCCCGTGCTCTAAAACGAGCTGTCTCGGACTAGATAGATGGTTGGTTCCGATAACTCCGATAGGAAAAGACCCTTGTATATTAGTGGTATTTTACGAATTGTTATTTACTACTGCCATGCAAGAGCTGTTATTGTTGCACAAGAAGTGGCACAGTCAAGGGCGGTGTATTATTAGTGGAAAGGAGCAACAACTATCACCACGACGCTCTGCTGTGATATTTCTTAACTTCTACAATTTTCTTCACTTTCACAATCATCAGCAACAATGGAAGACTCGACAAAGAACATACCTTTCAACGAGCACGAGGCCAGCATGGAACCAAAAGGCGAAATCACCCCCCAGGAAACGCACTATATCACAGGAGTTCGACTCCATCTGATCACGGCAGCGTGAGAATCCTCTCAAAAAAAAGTCTGAAGGAGTCTCTGACCTCGCATAGATTGTGCATGTGCCTCTTCCTGACGAATCTCGAGATACCGATCGTGACCACGGCCCTGGTTGGCATGACAATGGATCTGGGAGGTTTCAGTCAGATCAATTGGATCATTTCGGCGTATCTGCTGGGTTACGTTGGTATGGATTGTCATCTCCAGCCAAAATGGATGATCGCTCATCTCGCCGACAGCCGTTCTCATCATCTACGCAAAGCTGAGTGATATCTGCGGCCGGAAGTCCTTTGTGCTGCTTGCAGTCTTTATTTTTGTTGTCTTCTCGGCCGCATGCGGGGCCTCCCAGACCATGACAGAGCTGTGAGTTCAAAAGTAGATGGACCGTGGTTATTTTGCTTATTTTTCCATCAGAATTGTGTTTCGTGCCTTCCAAGGTATTGGAGGCGCTGGGAACTATTCTCTCTGTTCGGTCATGTTCCTGGAGTTGGTGCCTCCGGAGAAGTATGCCAAGTACACGAGTTCGGTATCGGTGGTGTATTCGCTGTCGCTGCTCTTGGGACCCATCTTCGGCGGTGCCATCAGTCAATCGTCAACGTGGAGATGGGTCTTTTTATTGAAGTGAGTGCCAGAAACGTCTCTCCCACTTCTCTGGCTAAAGTGCCCTTAGCATACCACCTGGAGCACTTGCTGGACTGGTGATCATCCTCGCGCTCCCGAACCGGTTTCCCTATCATGCAACACCCAATGCCCGCAAAGGATTCTCCCTGCGCCAATATATCGGCGAGACCGTGCAGCGCGTGGACTTTCTGGGCACTGGACTGCTTCTCGTCGCTACGCTTTTCCTCGTGGCCTCCCTGGAAGAAGTCAATCACGAGTTCGCATGGCGGTCTGCCTTTGTGATCACCCTGCTTGTTATATCTGGGATTGCCTGGATCTTGTTCCTGGTCTGGGAACGACAAGTCACCCTGCATTCCGATACTCGGGAGCCAGTGTTTCCATGGAGGTTTGTCCAGAACAGGATCTGGATGGGGATGCTACTGTAAGTTTCCTAAAAGGGAAATGCAGTAAAAAAAAAGAAACAACGAACTAATTAACCAGCAACTCCATTTTCCTCGGCGGGACTTGGTTCGTCACCATCTTCCAACTCCCGCAGCGTTATCAGATCGTCAACGGTCTGTCTCCGTTGCAGGCAGGAATCCGATTTATTCCTTTCACCCTCGCTGCGCCCGTTGGATCTGTGATAGCACCCACTATCGGCAAGGCCCTCAAACTGCCGCTGGTCTATCTCGTTCTCGCGGCGTCGATCATCCAGGTCATTGGTTACTCACTGCTGTCGACCCTACCCGAGTCTCCCGCCATCTCCGCCTCGCAGTACGGATATCAAATCATCGCCGGCTTTGGCTGCGGGATCAACATCTCGCTTCTAATCCTCATGACACCGTTCGCGGTGGAGGGCCGAGACAAAGGTAAGCTTCGATCCGGTAGTAGTGTTATCTCGTCAAATTTAACATTTTTCATAGCTGTCGCCATGGGAGCCGTCGCTCAATTCCGTGTCATGGGCGGCGTCATCTGCCTGGCAATCGTGACATCTGTGTTCAACGGCACTATTCGAAGCGGGCTGAAGGATTTTCTGTCCCCGGATCAGATCGATGCGGTGCTTCGATCGACCGAAGTCATCTCCACATTCCCTCCCATGGTGCAGGACATGACGCGCGTGGTGTTTTTACGGGGCTACAGTCTTCAGTTCAAAATCCTCACTGGGTTCGCGGGAGGGCAGATTCTATCATCGTTTCTGATGTGGAAGAAGAATAAGGAGCAGATCCGGGCGTAACGCCAGAAACATGTACAGTATATAACATTTGGCAAATCCTATCACTTTATATAAATCAGATTACAACAAAGATGCTCTCGTCAGAGTCCTCTTGATAACTTGCACCGTCTTAGCCACCGCAGCCGGATCGCGCGGTCCGGGAATCTCATGGCCTCCCTCATGCACAAAATCCTCCCTCTCACTTGCCTTGCACAGCTTACTCAGGACAGGACCAAAAGTGGGATAGAGCTTGTCGTGCCGGCCCCAGATATGCGCCGTCGGAATGTCGATAAGTTCGCCATCTTCCTCGAAACTCAATAGCCTTCTCTCCTTGCCTTCTATCGCCGCGGTAGGGTCCTCAGGAACGCCGCCGCAGAAAAAAATCGCACAGCGGAAGAGGGGTGGCGACGACGAGGATGTCCGTTGCTGAGCCTGCTCCTGTCGAATCCGGTGGATGATCAACGATGCCGCCAGCCCAGCTCCCTGAGAGAACGCCATAACGGCATCAAACGGGCCCTCCTCGTCGATGAACGCCTGCAGGTCGGTGAGGGCTTTGATGCAACTGTCCCGGTCCTCGGCGATGGCGTACATGAGGAATTCCTCGTCGGCGGAGACGAGGCCGTCGAGGCCTGGATGTCAATTTCGGATTGTCTTGTCAGCCTTCCTTAAAATAAAATAGATAGATAGCTGAAGCGATAGAGGACACACCAGGAGCCATCTCCGTAGGAACCGACCCATTCACCCATTCGTAGGTGTGATTGCCACCGAGCGCATGACGGATTGCAGCTAGCAAGAACAAGGCACATCATTCGAACATTCTCTCGTTCCAACTCTACTCCACTTGAATATTAGGGATATCGTACCAGTCTGGCTCTCGAAGATCTGCATGCATTTGTTTCGTTGGTCAACAAGATAGCGCCGCTTTTGCCAATAATAATAATGCACTTACGCGGCTGTTGGTGCCCATGCCATGGAGACACAGAAATCGCATGTCGATAAAAAAAAAAGATTTGGGGTCCAAAAAAGATAGCAGGGATCTCGACTATTAAACGATTTGAAGACTTTCCTGATAAATTAATCTGCAGTCTACCGGGTAATAGTAATAATGATATATATATATATATCTCGACTGTGGTTGGAATATGGTGTACACGATAACGGACGAATTCAAAACAGATCAGTATGATAAAAAAACAAAGTTATAACTAAACTCCTTTACGGAGTATTAACCGTCAAAAGGAACAAGAAGCTCATATCCACTGCTGATCCGCAGTGTGCACTTTCCGGTCAGTGTATGGTATGTATTACATTAGTTCCCGCCAACAGCGACAGGGATACGGAGTATGTTATATATATAAAACGGCTAGTATCGACGGTTCCTAACGGCAATTACTGAGGGGATTCCAATCCCTGTCCCTGTCCCTGGCCCTAGCTGCATGAAGCCAATCAATCAGCGAATTGGATATTTACGACAGGGTGATCGTATACGCCGTAGAGAGCTTATCAATTCTTCCCCTCTTCCCCCGCGGCCAGAACTCCTATGCAAGTCTTTTGGCCCCCAATAATCCAACCAGCACTATAAACAGGGTATTTAACAAAAAGGGAAAGATCATGGATTCAAATCCAACAAGCCACAAGCCGGCAGCAACCAACCCATGCAACAAGCAACAACCATGAACAAGGATTTAATCTAAAATATATTAAGTTTCACTGTTTCAGAGCTGTCTGTCAGTTCAATCAAATCAATTCTGGCCCCAAAACGAAACTTTCTTTTCAGCGCGCTAAACGTTCGCTTGGGATTGGTTGTGTGTCTTTTTTTTCCCTCTTTTTTGGATAATACTATGATGATGGCGTTGATTAGAAGAAGGTCGGCACTCGCTCGCTCGCTTGGTCATGGATGGATGGATGTTTTGTTGTTGTTGTTGGTTGCATCGGGGCACATGGATTAGGTGTGTCTAGACTTTGGAGCGAGCGCCTGGTACAGTACATTCGGATGTACATACAGTTGCTTTGAAGCTTTCTGTCTTTTTTAATTATCGTTGTTTGTTGCTAGTAGTGCTAGAGCTGTAGTTATCAATCTTTATCACCTGACTGGGAACAGTCTATATAATAGTTTGAATCTACTCGTCGCGTGTACTTGTTGTATAGTTAACAATTCTCCGTCCTTTCTTGTCACTAGTTCATCCTCAGAACGCTTCAAAACAAACAACATGCCAGGTCTAACGAACGGTTCGACGACGGACGGAGAGCTCCTCGAGCCCATCGCCGTGATCGGATTCTCGCTCAAATACCCCCAAGATGCCGACTCGCCGGCCTCCTTTTGGAAGATGCTGGAGGAGCGGCGATGCGCCATGACGGAGTGGCCCAAGGATCGCATCAATCTCGAACCGTTCACCGGATCGAGCTTGAAGGTTGGTTAGGGTTATTTCCTGTGGCGCTGATCTTCGATGACTGATGCTGATGCGTTTATAGCGCTCACCACCAGGCGCACACTTCCTGAAACAAGACCTGGGCGTATTCGACGCGTCCTTCTTCGGCATGTCCGCGACAGAAGCGATGGCCGTGGATCCGCAGCAACGGTGGCTGCTGGAAACGGCCTATCATGCACTTGAGAATGGTGAAAATACCCCTCTACCTTGGCATTAAATAATATACTGAATGGTTTGTAGCCGGCATCCCCATGGAGCAGGCCTACGGCACCCGGACTGCCGTCTACAGCGGCTCCATGGCCGACGATTATAAGCATCTCATCATCCACGACGCGGAGAACATGCCCAAGTACGCGGCAACGGGCGTCTGCATGAACATGGTGGCCAACCGGCTGAGCTGGTTCTTCAACTTCCACGGGCCCAGCGTGAACCTGGACTCGGCGTGCTCCAGCAGCCTGATGGCGCTGGATCTGGCTTGCCAGGGACTAAGGAGCAGGGACTCGGATATGGTCCGTACTTCTCATTTGGCCAGCTTGCGTCCTGATTCTGATGCTGATTTTGGAACTTGACAAACTCAGGCTCTGGTTACCGGCTCCAGCTTGATTCTCGCCGTCGAGAGTGTCGTCTCGCTGATGAACATGAACTTCCTCTCCCCCGACGGACGATGCTTCACCTTCGACGAGCGCGCCAACGGCTACTCGCGCGGTGAAGGATTCGGCGTCGTCGTGATCAAGCGTCTGAGCGACGCCATCCGCGACGGCAATATCATCCGCGCGGTGATCCGGTCCACAGGGTCGAACCAGGATGGCTACACGCCTGGTCTGACGCAGCCCAGCAAAGAAGCCCAGGCGCGGCTGATTGTCGACACGTACAGGAAGGCGGGTCTGGACTTTTCCGAGACGAGATTCTTCGAGGCCCATGGTGAGGTTTTGTTCCTTGTCCCCAATATCACTCGTTTCCTGACAGATCACAAACAGGAACGGGGACACCAGTTGGTGATCCGATCGAAGCGGCTGCGATTGGAAGCGTTTTTCGAACATCCCGCTCTCCTGAGGACCCATTATACGTGTACGTGGTATCTTCTAGACGGTATTACAGAGTACAATTCAATCCCTAACGAGCATCAGTGGCGCCGTCAAATCCAACATCGGGCACTCGGAAGGCGGAGCAGGCGTGGCGGGCCTCATCAAGACCATCATGGTGCTGGAGAAAGGGATTATTCCACCCAATGCCAATTTCGAGCGCCTAAATCCGGAGATCGATGCCGAGTTCCTGAACCTCAAGGTGGGTAGGAAGCACGAAACGACTGTAAGAAGCTAACAGTTTTCAATAGATACCCACGCAAGTAACGCCATGGCCAACAAAGGGTCTGCGTCGAGCCTCGGTTGCTTCTTTCGGGTTTGGAGGATCCAACGCTCACGCCATCCTCGATGATGCATATCACTACCTGACAAGCCGGGGCCTGACGGCATCGCATTGCTCTGTTCGAGATCCCCCGTCGCTGGGCAATGGATCTGTGCCTCGCGCTCTTCAGAACGGTTTCACGCGAGCTGTTAACGGAGTATCTGAGGCTTCGGAAGGAATTGCTTCCAATGGCACGAATGGAGTCAACGGTGTCAATGGCATACATCCAAGTGATGATTCGGGGACCCAGAAAGCCCTCACCAATGGACACGCAAACGGCAAAACAGGGAATAAATCTCGTCATCGAGTGTTCGTCTGGTCAGCGCAAGACGAAGGTGGTATCTCGCGGCTGGTCGATGTGTATCAAGACTACTTTAATGGCCTCTCTTCGAAGAGGCTCAACCAGCATGAATATTTGGATCAGCTCGCCACCACGCTCGCGTTCAAGAGGAGCCGACTCTCCTGGAGGGCGTTTGCGATCGCCGACTCTCTCGAGGCGTTGAAAGACTTGGGGAGGATCATATCAAAGCCGATCCAGCAAAGCAAGAACTTGGGTATCGGATATATTTTCACCGGGCAGGGTGCGCAATATCACCGCATGGGCATCAGCCTTGTCCATTATCCCGTCTTCCGGCAAACTCTGGAGATGTGCGACGAGGCCTTCCGTGGTCTAGGCGCGCCATGGTCCCTTCTCGATCGACTGGAGGATGGCGGCGAATCTTTTGACATCAACGATCCCCAATATGCCCAACCACTGACCACGGCAGTGCAGATCGCCCTGGTCGAGCTTCTTTCTTCCTTTGGTGTCCATCCGGTCACAGTTGTGGGCCATTCTTCTGGAGAGATTGCCGCTGCGTAGGATTCCCCCTTACCTTCCCTCTTCGTTTAACTTTACAATGCAATGTTGACACGAATCAGTTACGCCGTAAACGGACTCTCGCTGCAATCCGCCTGCCAGGTGTCCTACTATCGCGGCAAATATGCCAACCAGCTGAAGAAAACCAGCTCTGCCGGCGCCATGTTGGCCGTCAACCTCTCCGAAACCGATGTCGAGCCCTACATTCGGGACGTCAAAGCGCAGTCCGATGATGACAGAACCCTCCATATTGCCTGCATCAACAGCCCGTCCAATGTCACAGTGTCCGGTAGCAAGGAGTTGATTGAACGTCTCAAAACGACACTTGATGCAGATGGCATCCCTTCGAATCTCCTTCGGACCGGAGTGGCCTATCACTCGCTGCAGATGCTGGAAGTCGCCTCTGCCTACAAGTCGTCTTTGCGAGGGTTGTCCAGCGGCGAAGGGAAGAAGAAGGCTCTCAAGAGACCGACGATGATCTCATCCGTGACGGGCCAGGAGGTCAAGGATCTGAGCATCCTCGTCAGTGCAGACTATTGGGTCGACAATATGACTGGCGTCGTCCGATTCTCGCAGGCATTGGCCGGGGCCATTGCTCAGAACGGGTCTTCTTCAGGGCACAGGAAACTCGGTTCGACGAAGAAGCAGGCGGTGCACGACTTGATCGAGATTGGGCCACATCCCGCTCTACAGCGATATGTTCGCGAAATCCTCGATGCCTCATCTGCGCGCGGTGCGGTCCGGTACAATCCAACGTTGGATCGACGCTCTCTATCACCGCAGACGCTGCTCAATACACTCGGCATGCTGCATTCGCTTGGCTACCCGATCGCACTGGACGAGGTCAATCAGACTCCAAACACTACGAAAGCACCATGCGAAGCAGGAAGCGCCTTGGTCGACCTCCCCGAGTACCCGTTCAACCACTCCCGGAGATACTGGTTCGAGACGCCCAGCACCAGGAACGTGCGTCTGCGATCGCACGGCAAACTCGAGCTGCTGGGCACGCCCGCGCCGGAGTCCACTCCCCTCGAGGCCAAATGGCGCAAGTTCTTCAACGTGACGGAGACGCCCTGGATCGAGGAGCACCGGGTCAACGGGAAACCGATCTATCCGGCCGCAGGGATGGTGATAATGGCGATCGAGGGCGCGAGGCAGCTCGCCGACCCCCAGCACGCCATCGCCGGCTTCTTCCTGAGGGATGCGACCTTTACACACCCGATCGCCATCAACACTGACGGCCAGACCGAGGTGCATTTGCACATGCGGCCCACGCGGAGCGGACTCGAGAAGGGCATGCCGACCTACGAGTACCGCATCTACACCCGCGACGGTGAGCAGATGCGCGAGAATTGTCGGGGCTCTCTCTCTATCCAGTACGAGAATTCCTCATCCCCGGCGGACTGGAAGTCTGGCGACGAAATCGGCATCCAGGAAGCCGAGTACTACCGGCAGCGGTGGGAGGACGCAGTGAGATCTTGCACCCGGAGCGTACCGGCCGACAAGATGTACGAAGCCTGCAAGGCCAACGGGCTTGACTACGGCCCGTCCTTCCGGCCTCTGCACAATCTTGCATGGGACGGCCAGGGCCTCGCTGTTGGCGAGATCAGAAGCTTCCAATGGACACCGGAGCAGTCCCAGAACCGTCCTGAGCCTCATGTCGTGCACCCAACCACCCTCGACGCGGCGGGACAACTGCC